TTAAATTTTGAAATTCAGGCCAGACATCCAGTTCAAATGTTTCACTGGAGCCAACTATGTTCTCCCATCGTTTAATTAATTCGCTACAACAATTGAAGAATGCTGGTTGCATAAGCTGGAAACCACAAAATTTTATTTCATGGATAAAAACTGATGAAAATTATATTACTACTTTTAGTGGATGTCAATGGCTCAAAAAGTAGGAATGATTATAGTATAGAAGTTATTCAAAACAATGGAAACTTACCTTCAGCTTCTCAACATGAAATGCAGGATTGATAATCCTCCTGCATTTGGCCCATTTTTCCCCATCATAACTTGCATGTCCAGTTACCAACACCTTCCATATTGGGTTAATCTTTGGTTTCAAAAAGTGGCCAGATTTGGTAGTTAGAATTTCACGGACCAGATTAGGATCCATGATGGTTACTCTAGGCACAGGGCCACCCCACGTAAAGCAAAATTTGCCTATTTTGCATATCAATATGATTCAGTGCTTAGTTCAAGTAGAAGAATAACTTCAACAGTTTATCTAGAAAAACTATCAGTGAGCAATGAAAGATAGAAGCAATTCTAATAGACTGGAGTATAAGCCTGCTGGACAATGAAAAAAACATGAATACCTTCTAGCATTTTGAAATGCTATCATCATAATATACTTTACCAAAATGATATCTTTTATCATAGGAGAAATTAGCAGAAGTGGCCTTACTGGTTTTCGATGCATGTCCAATAAAATTTGATTTAAAAGTGAATTATTAATAAATTACACATCAAATTATTCACAATTATAATGGATGAGTCTCAAGGTCATTTAGTTTAAAAATAATAAGCAGTTGGAATTATTTTGGTTGATAAAAGAGATTGTGCTTTTGAGTAATTTTCCTAGATAATAAAATTTGTCCCCGAGTAAAAAAAATGAAAAAAAGAAAATCTGGCTTCATACCTGCTCTCTCATAAAATCATTTACATGACACTTCACTGAACATGTTTTTGCTCAAGCTCAAATCTGTTTCTTTAC